TTCCAGAAACCAATCTGGTGTCTTGAGGGCTCTGGGATCCCTGAGATCAGAAACACACTAAACTCTGGCTGACTACACCTGCTGTCACCAGTCACGGCCCCTGAACTGACCCAAGTGCGAGGAAACACAGTTGTCAAACATCTGGAACTCTGACTTGTTCTGTTTTATTTTAGGAAAACATATTGTATGATTTTTAAATTGTTTAATTAAAGAATACTCATATTTTCACCCTGGCCAGTTTGGTCAGGTAACTAGAGCATCGACGCTGAGACTGAAGGATTGCAGGCTGGATTCTGGGCAAGGGCATGTACCTCAGTTGTAGGCTCAATCTCCAGCCCCAGTAAGAGGATGGATGGGGAGGCAACAGATCGATGTGACTCCCTCATATCAATGTTTGTCTCTGTCTCTCCTTCTCCCTTCCATTCTCTCTAAAAATCCATTGGGGCCCCGAAACCGGTTTGGCTCAGTGGATAGAGCATCAGTCTGCGGACTGAAAGGTCCCAGGTTCGGGCATGTACATTGGTTGCGGGCACATCCCCGGTAAGGGGTGTGCAAGAGGCAGCTGGTCCCTGTTTCTCTCTCATCGACGTTTCTAGCTCTCTATCTCTCTCCCTTCCTCTCTGTAAAAAAATCAATAAAATATATATTTTTTAAAAATCCATGGGGGAAAAGATATCCTTGGATGAATATTAACAAAAAAATAAAAAATAATTTAAAAATACACATATTCTTAATCATACTTAAATTTATTTACATTTTAGTGGATATGAGTAATATTCTGTGGAACATTTAAAAACTTCCCGACTTCAAAGCTTATTGATTAAATTGGAACAAATGGTCATATCTTTGTCTCTTTTTATGCCTATAACACCTATTTTAAGAATATATATATCAGAATTATTGTGTTTCTAAATTGGCACTTATCAAAATGAATGAAAACTCTGCCCACAGAGCTTTGTGCTTACCCATCTTGAGTTGCAGTACATGTGGATTCTCTGTATTATTCATTCTCCACTTAACTTTATAAGGAAACACATGTCCAAACCAAGGATGGCCCCACTTTAAGTTTCAACATGGTTTGGGTTTTATAATGTTCAAGATTTTCCTAACAACGCACCTCTTTTTTTTTTTTACTTTCCTTTTCATTTTTTGGTCTTAAAACATGCTCTTTTGGCTGGTTGAATAAGTTGTTACTGCCAACCAGTTGCTTTTATGGTAATTGACAGCATAGCTGATTTTTGGAACCTTAGAATCTAAAAAGGCATTTTAGCCCAGACTTTGGAGAGGGAGAGCTGCAGCTGAGTGGGATGTAGGGGCAGTCAGCGGAAGTCTACGCATGGTAATTAGCAGCAGCAGCAAAAACGTCTGCTCTAGCTCAGACAGATGGGTGCCCCCTTTTCAGCAGCATTCAGAATCCTTCCTCTCCTGTCAGACTGAGCCACTGGGTGCCCTTCTGGAGGGGCGGTGGTGAGACCACATGTCTGCAGTGGGCAGAAGTGACATAAGCCCCTGAGCACCCGTGATGGGTCAACACCCACCACTCCTTAAATACTGACAATTGACTAATAAGGCACAAAATACTTGAACAAGATGAGAGCCAGCAAGTTTAAACTTCAAAGGAAAAGAGCATGAGAAAAATAAATCTTTATATTTAATACAATTATTTAATGTGGTAGTGAAGTGTGTATTTTCTGAGTTCCCTACAAATGATACCAATTCTCTAAAATTCCTGGGGCGCTTCCCCAGGTTGTACCTCAGCATAACAAACAGAAAAAATTTCCCCCAAACTCCCGGATCTTTATAGTCCTTTGCTTACCTATGAAAGAACAAATGATTCTTAGTGAAAGAGCCCCTGTGTTCTATCTTTCTTCTGATAGCACTGGGAACTAGAAGCACTGCACTGCACTGGGTGGCTCTCAGATGCATGATATCCTAAGCACAACGGGCAGCTCCCAATAACAGCAGCAGGAAAGCATGCCCTTTTATTTATTTATTTTTTTAAATATACTTTGTTGATTTTTTACAGAGAGGAAGAGAGAGGGATAGAGAGTTAGAAACATCCATGAGAGAGAAACATCGATCAGCTGCCTCTTGCACACCCCCTACTAGGGATGTGCCCGCAACCAAGGTACATGCCCTTGACCAGAATCGAACCCTTTAGTCCACAGGTAGACACTCTATCCACTGAGCCCTACATTACTTTTATGAAGATTTTTTTTCTGTTTCTGGAAAAGAAACCTAATTCTATACCTAAGGACACTGCTGGTGCCCATCTGCCTTAGAAATGAAATACAGGATTCAGTCATTGGAATACTGCAGAGTACATTGTTGAAATTTGTGAAACTAATTAGGAATACCCGAGTGGGAAATGGAGTCTGTGTTTTTACACTTCAAAGGTATTTTCATAGGCACCAAACTGTAAAACACACATACCCAAAGAGTAAGCAGGGTTTTATAATCTCGCAGTTGGCTGCAGTAAACTTGTTTCTCGGTGGCACAAGTTCAAGGAGGCAGCCACAGGGGACTGCGGGACCTACAGCTTCACTCTTCGTCTCAGCTGGAAGCTCTCCTTGAACCTTAGCAGTGAATTACACGCTCCCTTTCCACAGACAGTCTCCATCCATCGCTGACATTTCTGGGCTCTGTAACCCATTACCTATTGGATAGCCATGGGCATCTTTCTTGTCTGTGCAAAACGTGCTCTGAGGTTGGCCATTCAGGTGGGGATCCTGATTCTGGCCCTTCGTGTATGTGAGACTGCTTGGTGTGTGAGCCAGAGCATCAATTACATGGTCTTTTCTAAATTATGTTTTGTTATTTCCCTAATGTTATTTAAGCTTCATGGAACTTATTCTGCTTTTGCCAAGTCTTTCCAGTGAATAAATATCTCCACAACCTATTGCTTCACTCTGGCAATAGAATTGTTGCAATTTGTGGGCAAAATTGAGCAAAGGCCTGACTTTCCCCACCCATTCTGTAAAATGTCCAATGTGCTGGCCAGCCTTCTCCCTTTTACACAAAGGCCTTGACTTGTTCTGAGTTCTGGTAGCTCCTTGTCTCCGGCAGTACTGAGGACAGATTTATAGAGAACAGTATTAAGCAAAGAATGGCTTAACGGACATAACGGGGACATGCTGTCCACACACAGAGTCACTAGTACTAACTACTTTAAGATACAAAGTGCTTAGAATAGTGCCTGGCACACAGGAAGTGATGTTGAACTAGAATTATCAGTTAGTTAACACTAGTCATTTTTTTCCTCCATTTACACGAGTAATTTTGTAATTCCAAAAGTAGCACAAGCATAACTAATCAGTTCTGCCTATTAGGAGCCAGAAGATTCAGAGGCTGAGCATCCAATGGCTCACAGATCCAATTATTTCTCCAAAGAATCTCTAAAATGAAAGGAGACCAAAGGAACTAAAACAGTTCTTATTCCATTTTGGGTCGACATGCATTGTCTCATTCTTCCTAACAACCTTATCATTCATTCACTAAATCTTTTGTTTTGTTTGATTTTTTTGTTGGTTTGTTTTAAGCTCCCAGGGTGAAAGGTTACACAAAGAGCCCTCAGTGACCCAGAATTATCTCCCCGTGAGGCCTGACTTAGCATATATTAATATTTTTCCTTCATAAAGGGCATCAAAGTTTAGCTGCCTTAGCTACATGGCTGTGTGATTATATTCTCTTGACCACATCTTCCCTGGGAATTTTTGCCCTGGTTGGATTATATTATGATCATGTTGATGTTTTTCCACATGGCCAATCTAGCCTTAAACATTGCAGGGGGAATGAATTGCCTTCAGAAGTATTGGGTTGGGGGTGGTTAAAAAAAAAGGGGTGGGGGGGGGCACTTAAGAAGAAATAGCTTTCCAAAGGTCCTCAAGCCAGAAGAGGGCCCCGAGCAAACATTGTGTTTTTTGTGTCTCCTGTGTGCAGCACAGTGCCTCATTCTATAGCTGCTTGTAATGTGGCTGTTGATGATGGTGGTAACTTAACCACTGTCTAGTTTGGAGTCTCATAGGCTGAGGGGAGTCCCAACCCCACTCCTTTTCCCCACTTCCCTGCCATGCTGGAGGCCTCTCTTTCCCTCTATCTGTCCACTTCGGTGCTGCCAGAGGACTGACCCAAAGATCAAGATCAAGGTCAAGAACCTGCTTTGTCTGTCTTTACATTGATGTGGTATCGGTCGACATTAGTGTTGTGAGTGAGGGAGCAGCAGGAAGAGGAGGTCTTTCAGAGACTGGCTCCTGCTGATTGGAATATGCCAGGGACTCGTGTGTTGCTGTCAGCATTGGGTCTGTTACTCCTTCGCTGACTAGCCTGAGGGAACCAGCTACCAGTGCTTTTTCAAAGATGGAAGTTGGATTCCTTTGAAATCATAGACTATGGAGCCAGTGGGACCCCGAGACCTCCTAGGAACACCCCCATTTTACAGTTGAGGAACTTTCACCCTAGACGTTGTGGTGCACCAAATTCTGGCCACAGGTACATGGCGACTTCAGGGCGGAGTGGAACCAGCACCAGGACCAGAACTTCGCAATATCGTTCTCCTTGTGAAAAGGTCCAATTTATTCGAATTAATTAACCTTAGACTCTTTTATGTCTGTGAAAGCTACTCTTTATTCGTTATTACTTGTCCTTATCATATATATGCCTGCTACTTTGTAAAGATTTTTTTTTTTGCATTTTAATTTAAATTATATTTGTTAAAAAAAACTACAACCTTATTTTATTTTTTTTATTGTTAATCCGCATAAAAGGGTATGTTTTCCATTAATTTTTAGAGAGTGGAAGTGAGGGGTGGGGAGAAGGAGGGAGGAAAAGAGAGAGAGAGAGAGAGAGAGAGAGAGAGAGAGAGAGAGAGAGAGAGAGAGAGAGAGAGAGACTGAGAGATCAACCATATTTTCTGATGAACTTTTATTCCTGATAATTCATTATGAAACTCCTGAGATTAAAAGAGAAAAGAAAAGTAACTGAATTTCTGCTTTTCTTTACAGACACTCTGGAAAATGGATCCAATAACAGGTGAGCATAGGTTTTGATTTGTTGTTCATGCTTTTCAGTGTTGCCATTATCTGTGCAGCTGCAGTGAGTTTGATCATTTTCTTTTTGTTTTGCTTCAATCCAGTGCAGCTAATAAGAAGGGGCTGAGCAAGGATGACACATACTGGAAGGAGATCAATGCTGCTATGGCCTTAACGAATCTCGCACAAGGAAAGGACAGACTGCAGGGAACCGCCAGCTGCATCATCCAGAAGTCCTCGCATATAGCGGAAGTGAAGACAGTCAAGGTGCCCCTGGTCCAGCAGTTCTGACAGTCTGCGCTGTGCAGACCCGTGGCTGTCCTTCACAGGGTCTTCTCACAAATCCTCATGTTGAGAGCTGAAGCAGGAGTGATAATGGCTCCCTTTGAAATGTCTTCTTATTTTTAAATATCCTAACTATTTCATTTAGTTGCTTCTATAAAAGACATATAAATTATAAAAACCCTCAATTTAATCAAAAATATTAACTTATTTTATGTTATTCAACCTATGTATAGAATGTCTGCATTGCCATCACAGTAAGTGCCTTGCTTCCTGAAAATAAGCTACAACGTGGGCACAGCAGAGCAGCTATGCCTCAAAATGACCACGCCATAATGCTTATCAGTCTCTGTGTGCCTTCCAGATGGACCTGACCATTCCAGGACTGAAACCATAATTGCCAAAAGCCCTTGAAATATATTCAATAATTCACATGTGAAAACTTGGAAATCCATTCTGCCCAAAGGAAATGTTCCTTTAAGAAAAATTTCTTCAGTACTTAAAATAGTTCGGTGTTCTTTGCACAGTGACAGTAAGATGTTTATGCATGTTTTGTGCCTGCATATCTGATACGTTACAAACTTTCAAAATGAAAGGTGCGGTGATCACATAATGTGTAAAATTAAGAAAAATCGCAATGAGTAGATTGTGATCAGAAAAGCTTTCTCCATGCACTGCTGGAAAATACATGCCCTTTAGAGTTAATTTGGATTTTCTTTTTCTCAAGTTTTGCTGAAGTTTTTCTAAAAAAATTTTATTATGTAGATAATTCAAAATTTTCCTGTGTAGAAGTAAACTCACTGTTTAATTTTAAAATATAAACTTGTTTGCTATTTTTATAATAGAAATTGTTTTTTCTTAAGGAATGGCTAAAAAACAACTTTTATTTGGTTCATTTCAAATTACAATTGCTGATGAGCAATTTATTTTGCAATGAGAACAAGATAATGAAAGAAATGAATCTCTCTCTCTCTCTCTCTATATATATATATATATACATATATATATGTATGTGTATATATGTGTGTACACACATATATATATACATAAAATTGATTTTTTAATTTAAAACATATGGATAATAAAACAGTCTCTAAATTTTGCCAAGTAGTCCTGTAAGTAAAAATTAAGGGAAATTTTGCATTAAAAGAAAGAATATTTTGATTCTAAATTAGGCTATAGATGAGTGAGAATAATCAATATGAAGACAGAAAAATATCTTTTATAATTAAACAATATTATTCAAATAAGCTTGAAACTTGAATAAAAGTGGAGACACCAAATATAACAGAGATGTATAAAGGATTTCACTCTTTCATGGGGGAAGTTTTTATGTGTATGTAATATATTTTGTAATTTTTTTAACTGGAAAGTATTTTTGTGAGTGTGAATGAGAGCCAGTAGTGCAGCCATGTGGTGACATTTTTTATTTTATTTTGCAAAGTGCTTTTAAAACCAAAGGCTGCTCTAGTCCATTTGTGGACAGTATCAATCTTGACATAAATTGTAGGACACTTTTTCATGTGACATAGCATTTGGGGGTTGGGTTTATTTAGTGTATGAAAATAATTTGATATAAAAATATTTTGTACATATTTTACTTTGTTTTCTAAATTGTTGTTTTCAGTAAAAATAAGTACAACGCAAGATATGTAAGTTATGACTGTATGATCAGATGAAGTATGCGTTCTTTTGGTTTATATCCTTAAGTAGTTACAAATCCATTATAAAAAAAACTTTTTAATCTTTGTAAAACAATTTTGACAAAATGGGATCATATCAATGAAAACTAAAGACAAGTACTTCACTCTTTTTCATACTATTATAAGTTATTCTGGTATTAAATATTTTAATAAATTGTTTTGTTTTGACATATTCCAGTTAGATGAATGGATGCTGGTTGTTTTTATTTGAATTGGTTATAACTCATTGTTGCCATTTAAAAAAAAAAATCAGCAAATTTGTTCGATGTTGTAAACTATGAATGACAAGCCAATATAGAATGGCTACTCATATGTGTGTGTTCTTTTACATACCAAAGTTTGGAGTCTGGCTTATAAACATATAAAGAAAATTTGATAATTAGCACATCCTTGGCAATATCTCCAATTGCAAGTACTTTTCATTTCTTTCTCTTGCTTCTTAACATTTTCTGAAAATCAAAGTCCCCCCAATTCTATAGAAGAATCTTGAACAATGCTGAGCCAGCAGTTAAAAATCTAACTCATAATTTATGTTACAGAGAAATAGAATTACCTCTATGCTTTGTTTTGCCATGTGTAATCATTTTAATAAAATTAATAACTGCCAAGATTTCTTGACAGATTTAAAATAAAAGTTAATTTCTAGACCTCAATGATCATATGAATTTTGTTTTTCTTTGGGAGTTGACCAGGTGGAGAAAGAAGTAGAACAGAAGGGCCCACTATATGCCATAATTTTTCTTAGGTTACTACGGGATGTGATATGAGAGCACCGCATTTTGTTAGGTTTGATTTCATTACCTCAGACCACCAAGCCACCTTCTCAGAGGTGAGGAAAAGAGAGTGTGCTTCTCAATTTATAATAGCTAGGATTTGGAAACAGCCTAGGTGCCCATCAGCAGATGATTGGATCCAAAAACTATGGTACATTTACACAATGGAATATTACGCAGCCATAAAAAAGAAAAAATTCTCATCGTTTGCAGCAACCTGGATGGAATTGGAGAACATAATGCTGAGTGAAACAAGCCAGTCAATGAAAGAGAGACACCACATGACCTCACTCATTTATGGATGATAAAGAACATTATAAACTGAAGAACCAAAAGATAGATATAGAGACAGTAAAGCAACAAGCAGACTGTCAAATTACAGCGGGGAGGTTGGGGAGATCAGAGATCAACCAAAGGACTTGTATACATGCATATAAGTACAACCAATGGACACAAAACTCTGGGGAGGGAGGGTATGTACGGGAGGGGGGGCATTGGTATATGTACAAAAATAATAATTTAATAAAAAATATATTATAAAAAAATAAAAATAAAACATAACATTTGTAGTAATTAAAAAAAATAAAATAAAGAGAGTGTGCTTCTGTTAAAAATACATTTAAAAGAATGATTTCATTAAATACCTTCTTTCGGTATAGCTAATACAAGCATTATTTCTGGGTGCTTAGTCCTGGAGACAACCTAGGCCTTGAGGCTAGACAGGTCTACGTTGAATCCCAGCACTGCCACTCATTACTGTGAGATCCAGACTCAGTCCCTCTTGGCTCCAGTTTCTTTATCTGCAAAGTGAGAGGAATGAGGTAAATCTTGTAGAATTTGCTACAAACTTTAGAGATAATATGTAATATATAAACTGCCTGCCACGGTGCCTGGAATTTTTAAATAGATGCTCAATAAATGGTATTATTACATAATTATAATTCCTCAATGTAGGGTTTAGATCCAAGAAAACATAAATATAAATGGCACATAAGATATGGGCAGGAAAGATATCCGACATGAGAGATTGCAATGAAACAGTGAAAGTTGGTATCACAGTTAGAAAGACCTGTGAGGAAGATCATTTTATCATTAGTTTGAACTTTCTGGAAAAAAGCATAAAGCAGGAAAAAGAGAAGAATAGGCATGCCAATAGAAAACACAGCATGTACAAAAGCTTCCTTCATTCAGATCAACACGAATTGCTTTTCCCTCTAATCGTCTTGCTCGATCCTCCTGTTTAAGGTGACTGAGAATTCAAGCCACTCTCTGTATTATCTGCCCATTGCAAGTATCAATGTTTAGTAAACAGTGGCAACAGCCATGGTCTCCTTTTAAAGTCAGCCAGCTCAATGCCATAATATCATGCAAGTAAACACAGAAAATAAGAACAAGTCACCCAGACTCTTCCATCTGGAGCACTTAGGCCAGCCATCCCTTGGAAGGCAGTGTGGGGTGGTGGTCAGGACTTGGCGGGTATAGCCTGGCATTGCCTCTGCACTCATTAGTGTCTTTGGGGCCTAAACATAAGTCTCCTATACCGAGAGTTAACATCTATAAAATTTGATCTATGAAATCCACCTCTCCAAAGATGTGCAGACTAAGTAAGACAGATATAAAAGTGTTTTGCACACTGCATGGTACTGTACAACTGTTAACAATTATTAATGTATTCCAGATGCTCTGGAAGGTCTAATATCCCATAATTTTTGGCAACATAAATTGTGGTTTTCATGAAGCATATAGAACCCCTTGATTTTGTCAAAAACATGTTATGCTCTACCATTTTGGGCCTTTTTTAGCACAAGGCGTCTTTGGTCCTGCACTTCTTTGAAACAGTTATGATCAGAATTAGAGGACTGATTGTCACACGGCAGGTAAAGTGTTCTAACTTCACCACTCTCTAGCTTTGAGACGTATCTTAGAGATGGACTAAACATTTGGTTGGGGAGGTGTGCATATTGCCCATAATAAATTTTTTTTAAGATGAGAAAAGCAGATTTCTGAGTTTGGAAAAACACGCTCATGTGTTTTTACATCTTTACACAAATGACTCCATGGAAATTCATGTAAAGATTGTCTCAATAAGTCTTCTGAAATAAATTTCATCCCAAAGCCAGTTTCTGGAAATTTGATCTGCAGTGAGTCCAATTTGACTTGTATTCATTACTTTTGAATAAAATTTTAAATTTTAATTCATGGCTTTAAAAGTATAAATACAACTTATGCTAGTTTGTAGAAAAGTGTAAGCAGTATAACAGAGCACAAGATAAAAGTCTCCATGCCCTATCTCTTCCTGATCCCAGTTCCATAGCCCAAAGATAATTATGGCTAACAGTGTCTTGTGTATACTTCCAAAAACTCTATGAATATACAAACTCATATTTTTTCATCTTGTACTTTTAACTATATTTATAATTTTCTGCAATATTTTTCCATTCTGTCATGTATATATAAAAGTGATACATATATGTAGATAGGCATACCTCATTATTAAACAAATGCATATGATTTTATTTATTTGTTTTTATGT